TCCAGTGTATGGACAGCAACTCTTAGAAAGGCTCTTTCTCTGCTGCTTACCACTCTTCTATCTTCCCTAAAGTCAAGAAAACTATTTTAAAACCAATTTTGGAGTGGCATGGGCCTATGGGACCCTCTGTGATGGTCAGGTAAACATACACAAAACCAGTTCAAAGGAGCATAACACAGGTAAAAGTCCTGCTTTACCACTTTTTACCTTTCCAGAGTGAAGGCTGACTTCCTGCACCTTACATCCACTTAATGAAGAAAGAAGCCTGGTGGGCTCTGTGGCTCTACAGGCAGCACACTCCATGCCCTCCTATCTCCCCAGGTGGGAGATATCCATGAGAAACCCATGAGAAACTTTTGCAAATGTTCACACTTCTTGCTGTTTGTCATACCAAGTATGTAAACAAATACAAAGTTTCCTATATCCCTCACAGAAAGGAACTCAGATGCACAGCCAATCACTATTACGCTGAAGTACAAAATCACAGTAGAAAAGTAAAGGATGAATCTGTTGGACCCAGTGTTATGTTCTGTGAGCTGTGTGGGCCTTGCAGAAACTATACAATGGTTATGATACAACAGTTCCCTACCACACACTCAGGCAAGGAGATGTGGTCGGTCTAGATACAGGGCCAGAGGGTACACTGGGGCTCCAGGCCTGGGGATGAAGGTGTTCTTGCTTATCCTGCTTAGAAGGGAGGGTTGGATTGTGCTTGCATTCACATGAGACAGAGAACGGTATGTCTTGGGGTCTGTGTCAAAATTAATTTTGTGACATGTCCACGGAAGAGAATCAGGCTATGTGGACATCTTACTGATTTACTGCATCATTGACCAGACATCAGTGGCTATCCTGTTGGTCTACTGTATCACTAACATAAAGTGTAAGACAATGGAGCCCCACTGGAGCCCCAGGTGGGAGATACCCATGAGAAACCCATGACATTTTGGGAGCCTTCCCCCTTGGCCAAGTACTTAGGCATCCAGGGACTGGAACTATGTTGGGGTGTACTTTCCAGAGTGAAGGCCGACTTCCTGCACCTTACATCCATTTAATGAAGAAAGAAGCCTGGTGGGCTCTGTGGCTCTGCAGGCAGCACACTCCATGCTCAGCAAGCATGCTCAGATTCACTTACTGAGTGAGATGACAGAACTTAGCCCAACTTTCCTGCTGAGTAGATGGAAAAGATGCTTCAGTGACAGTGCCTGCTCCAAGGCAGTGCAATGTGGAGGGTAGCAGCAGGCTCAGACCACCACAGCTGCCAGCACTGGGTGCTGGGGCTCTCAGTGCTGGCCCACAATGTCCCAGGCCTGGGGAAATCTATGACAAAGCAATCAAGAGACAGAGGCCCCAACATGGCAATAGCACTCTGTAACTGGTGGGTTATATCCATTCTAAGGTGATGCCCATCAGTCACATCCTACTGTTTTCCCAGCTAGCTGGAGATATGGGCCTGGGGACAAAGGGATGAATGGAAGGAGACATGGCCTTGCTTCTCACGCTCCTCTGCCCCACCTGGGAGCCCATTGCTTCTTTTCCACAGCTCTAAGTATGTGTGGTCAGAGGTCCCTGTGCATCCCACTAACATTCAAGCTAGGACAGCCCAGTCATGTTAGACTCATGCTTTAAGTCTGACTGAAGATGACTGACAGGAGACAGGCTGTGGATATATGTCTCCAAGTACCCCTTTCCTGACTGTGCATACATGTGCACAGGCATGTGTATGGAACTGAGGACTGAACCTAGGGCCTTGGCACTGAGCTTCATTCTCAGTCTCTCATATATAAATGTTTCTGAGATAGGGCCTCTCTAAATTGCTAAGCTTCCCAGGCTGGATTTGAACTTGTAATCCTGTCTCAGCTTCCCAGAACTGCAACACCCCACCCTACCCAGCTCCCCTGCCCAGTTTTGGTCATCAGGGGACAAGTGAGATAGCTGAGGTAAGGTCTCCTACTCTTCAAAGACCTGGGTGTGGGCCATCTCTTCTAGATGAAGAGTGATGCTGAAGGAGGGTGCAGGGAATCTGGAGTAGGTGGCCAAGGAGGAAAAAATGAGAATGAGCTATAGCTTGGAAGCTGCAGCTCAGCCCTGACCTTTTAAGTTTCCCTGGGAAAGCAAACAATGGCAAATGGAACCAGGTGCCCAAGTTTATCCTCACACTGCAGGAAATGTGTGGTCCGTTTTCCTTGCTCCATTTTGAAAGGGCAGTGGAAAGGCATGTTATCCTCCCAGGTCCTCTACCTGGTGACTAAGTGGTTCTCTGGGCTCCTCTAACAAAGCAATCTTTGCCTCATTATTCTACAATGTAGCTACCAGCTGATGAGCCCTATCCACCACCAGAGCTCACAGCCTGTGTCTTAGAGCCTTGCTGTTTTAAAATAGGTCAGAAAGTCATCCTGCCACATGAGGGAATCCAACATAGGAGAGACAGGAGAGTCAAGTGAGAACAGGAACCAGGGAGAAATGAAGGGACTAAGGAGATACTTAAAAAATTATAGTAGGGATCAGTAAAGAAATGAAAAAAAAGATCCATCAATAAAACATAAGAAGTTGCAATTAGAAAGAATATTCAAAGAAAACTGAAAACTCAACAGAAGTATTAACAGGCAATGTGAAAAATTCTTCCACAAAGCTGAGCCGATCCCCCTCAAAGAAATAGGAAAAAGAGAAAGAAAAAGAGACAGAGGTTGGGGAAATAGCTCAGTGGTCTAAGTGCCTGCCTGGCAAGCCCAAGGACCTGCGTTCAATCCCTGTAACTGCATGCCATTCAGGCGTGCGCCGTACTGGCCACTGAAACTGGCATGGTGGTGCATGCCTGTAATCCCAGCGCTGGGGAGGCTCAGACAGGAGGATCACTATGAATCAGAGCTGCATAGTGAGACCTTGTATCAAATAAATGAATAATATATAAATAAATAAGATTTTTTTAAAAAGTGGCACACTTCGTTTAAAAAGAGACAGAAAAAGTATGTGAGTGAGCACAGGTAGTATAAAACAGTGAAAAAAAATCCTCATCTCCATGGAAGGATGGCAAAAATGAAGCATAAAATTGAAAAGAATTAAGAGACACGTTAAATGATATCATGTACCATATGGAGTTAACCATCACACAAACCAGGGTGTGTCGGTGATGTGTGTGTTGGTCTATTTTACTGTCACTGTGACAAAAGATCTTAAAGTCAACTTCAAGGAGGAAAGGTTTATTTTGTCTTACCATTTCTCAATTTCAGTTCATGGTTGTTGGCTCCACTACTTTTAAGCTTTTAGACCCCTGTTTTTCATGGCAGAAGGGCCATGGTGCAGGACAGCTGCTCACCTAATAGTGGCCAGAAAAGAGACCCGGAAAGAGCCCTCAGGAAGAGGCTGGGGACAGAAATCTACCTTTTAAAGCTATGCTTGCTATGACCTGCTCTATCTAGTTAGATACCACCTCCTAACAAGACCAGAGAGCTGGTTAGAGCCCTTGTGATTAAGTGAGAGCCCCAGTGATCCAGTCACTTCCAAAAGCCACATTTCTGACTCTGCTGCATTGGGCACTAGCACCTAACACAGAGCTCTTGGGGGGAATCATCATATTGCAACCAAAGCATGGGGATTCTAATGCTCCGTATGTCATTGTCTTGTCTTCTTTTTAACGTAATTCCTATGTTTTAAAGTCTTCTTTTCCATTCTGGACATTCCAATAATCCACTATTAATATAATGTTAGCTGTCCCTATTGTGTGGAAGTGGAAGAGAATAAAAAGGTCAAACACAGTGTTCTTTATGCTAAAGGAAAAAGAGCCCTGTGATTTCTTTTTTTTTTTTTTTTATAATTTTATTTATTTATATGTGTGTGTGTGTGTGTGGGGGGCAGCTCAGCCCACCAGGGGGCGGGGCTGGCTGGCATGTGGTGCTGGGGGATTGAACCGTGGTCCCTGTGCTTTAGCTAAACTTGTTCTAAGTAGGTGCTTTAGACCACTGAGCCATCTCACCAGCCCGAGCCCTGTGATTTCTACAGTTTAAGAAATCTTACATTTCAATCATTTTGCTCCAAAGAAAGGCTGTTTTTATTTTCAAACATTTAATGTTACTTTTATAAATACCTCGATTAAAAAAGTTTTGTCTGATACCAAACAGCAAAGTTCCTAAGTATTACAAACAACAGAGGAAAATTAATCTTTAGAACAATTTATATGAGCTCATTTATGTAAAACCAGGCCAAGGGCCAGTGAGAGCTCAGCACACTAAGTGCCTTCTTAGGCAAGCGCAGAGACCCAGGGTTCAATCCTGGGCACCAAATAGCGTGCCAGTCCCGTTCCTGGGCAGGCTGAGCTGGCCACCAAGACCAGGTGTGGTGCTATATACCTATAATCCTTGTGCTGGGGAGGCTGAAAACAGGAAGATCACTATAATCTGAGGTATGTAGTGAGACCCTGTACCAAATACATAAAAATAAAAAAATAAAATGAGGCTGGCAAGATAGCTCAGTGGTCTAAAGCACCTGCTTAGGCAAGAGGCAAGCACAGGGACTGTGGTTCAATCCCCAGCAGCACATGCTGCACCAGCCCCACCCTCAGGATGGGCTGAGCTGGCCACACACACACACACACACACACACATTCACACACACAATAAATAAAATAAAATAAAATAAAACCAAACAAAAAAGCTCAAACTTCCTCTTATGCCTGTGTGTACAAATTTTTATGAAAGTGGAGACCAGGGCAAACTGTCACAGTGGTGACCACTGGAGGCACACAGGGCTGGGAGCTAGGGGACTCTTCTGAATTGGTGGTTAGTACACACTGAGAATTCCAAGTAACAAGGACACACCTGGGATAACATAGCTCCCTCCTCCTTTTGCCACTCTCTTGCCCTACTACTCTGTCACCAAAGACACAGAAGTCCAGACTTGGTAACACTTGCTTTTTCAGAGAAATGCTGTTACTTTAGTAGTACAGTTCTGCCGCTTCCCCCCTACAGCTCTGGCCTCAGAGACCTTGTGAGTGGGCACTTTACCTCCAGGTGGCCCTGCTGGCTCTTGTATACCACCTGCGGGTCCTCCTGCAGTATGCTGCCATACAGCTCCCGGAAATGGGCTACGTTGGGCTTCACGATATTCCGCACCTTCATCTTTTCCTCCCCGATTACCATGCGGAAGTCACCTGGTTAAGGTAAAGAGCAAGATATTTTCTGAAAAACCCACACTGTGATCTACAAACTATTGCTCCCACTCTGCTACTGCGCTGGTCCAACCTAGCAGGACTCTTCATCAAAATACTCGCTTGTCCTCGAAAATGAACATCCAACTCAATGCAAGCAAGCACTTGTTTGGGGGAGAAGAGTCTCTGGCATCAGAAAGTGCTACTTGCAGATGAAACACAGCACTCAGCTGTCCAGGCACCAAGGCAAATCTCAAGCCATTCACTTCAGCTTTCTCCTGCAGGTGTTCCTGTGCCTTACAAGCCTCCATCTCTGCCCACCTGAGCCAATGGAGCAGGGATCATGCACTACAATGTGCTTGCCCTGATCACTGCTTGCTCACCTTGATTGTCTGGGTGAGGGTCACTAAGAGGCTTTCTGAATCTAATGAAACTTGTTACACTTGACTTGGGTAAGGGCAGTGAGTGGGGAAAGAAATGCTGCTCAGAATGGTGAGTAGTGAGTGACCTGGGCAACTTGGTCACTCAGCAAGACCCTGTCTCAAAATTTAAATAGGTGTCTGAATAAATGAAAGAAATGGATGGATGAGTTGGAAGTAGAGCTTAGCAAAAGGCCGTGGGTTCAATTCTCAGTAAAGCGTGCGCACGTGCGCGCGCGCGCGCACACACACACACACACACACACACGAGGCGGCCCTGGGCTCCACTTAGTACCAAGAATGAGGCTGGACACACAAAGTCCTAGGTTAAGCCTGAGAAGGAGTGACACATGGATGAATCTTTGCTGGACAGATAGTGAGTGGCCAGAGGCTGGGAGGGACAAGTGCAAGCAGACAACCCAGTGGCAAAGGGAATCCCTGGGACCAGAGTGATGGTGTAATCTATCACCCAAACTAGATCACTTGTGAAGGTGAACACAGTGAGCGCAGTGGCAGTTACACCAGCACAGCAAGTGCTAGCACTTTGCTAGAGCCAGCTATTGGATCATTTTGGAAAAAGTTACAATATAAAGATGTGTGCAGGGGCCAGGGAGATGGCTCAGTGGAATAAGCACTTCCCTGACAAGCGCAAGGGGCCCGAGTTCAATCTAGGGTTCTGAAAAAAAAGATGTGTGCAATGCTTTGGATGTGATTTTTCCCTCCAAAATTCATGTGGGGGTTTAATCTCAGAGTAGAGTGACTAAGAGGTTGGAGACTTAATCTGACTCTGTTGCTCAGAGGTGGTACCTTTGAGAGGTGACTGAGGTTAGATGCCATCTGGAGCCCCAGAACCAACTACTGGTAGCTTCATGAGAAGAAAAATCTGAGGCTGGCAGCACATGACTGTGATCTCTCCTGCTGAGGTAGGATGGCCACCAGTATGAGGACAGGCTGGACTACATAGCAAGACCCTGTCTCCAAAAACAAAAAAGAGAAAAAAAGAGAAGAGAAAAAGAGAGGAGACAGCTGTATACCTGCTTCCTGCTTTCATCACTTGGTGCCCAGGTGTGCCCTGGGACTGTGGCAAGAAGGCTGTCACCACACCCTGATTCTAGGGCCAGACTCTGGGCCAACAGCAATTTCTTTCCTCTCTAATATACCCTGTCTGTGTGCTTCAGTAAGGGCTGCAGAACCAGGATACCCTAAGCTCTGTCAGAAGAGCCATTCATCCATTCAAGCACCAGCAGGAGCCAGGTTGGGTCCTAGCAGCTGATGCACTTGGATGACTTTGTTTTTCAAACATGATTTTAAAGGGCCAAAGAGTCATGCGGTTACATTTGAGGATCACTGTGAATGTGGGTGCTGTTTCACCTGTGACTGATGACAATGTCAGTGCAGACAGTTGCCTGGAAAGCTGTGGAGCATAAGCCTCAACTCTGAACAGCAAACTGAGGACACCAAGGGCAGTGATGAAGAGGAAAGGGTAGTAGAGCATCTGGTAGGGGCCATGTGCAGGCTCCCAGTGCAGCATCACATTCTCTTGGGACCTATACTTTATGTGGACACATAATACTCTGTCCCTGTTTGGGGACAAAGTGACAAAGATATAGAGAACAAGTTACCTGCTGGGCCTTCCCGGGAAGCAAAATCTATTCTACACAGGAAAAATGTTCATGGGCTGGAGTTGTGGCATGCACAGGACCTGGGTTTTAGCCCTAGCACTGCAAAAATAAGAAAGATGAACCAAAACACCTGTGGCCAGAAGTGTTATTTTTACTGGAAGTAAACTGAGTGTCTAGCAGGAAATGGATCAGCTGTGATGGCATAATCTACTGAGTCTTGGTCTATGTGCCATCAACAAAGCTCACACTTGACACGCATATTGCACAACATGCTACGTAGAACACAAAAGGAAAACAATGAAAATCTCTGTGTAAAAAACATGAAAAGCAAGATGCAGGGATTACATAAGAGTAATGGCTGGGGACATGGTTCAAGGAGAAGCTCTGGCCAACTATGCAAGCTCTGGGGTTAATGTCCAACAAGGAGAAAATACATGTGGGTCCTCTGTGTGCATGTGTGTGTGTGTGTATACACACACATGTGCTTAACTTCTGCTCTCTCTTTCAGTCCTGGCAGAGCTCCCTAAAGCAGATGCTGTTGGTATTCTGAGTTTTACAGACGAGGACATCAAGGTAACATAATTTGTCCAAGGTCCAGCTGCCTCTTGGTATCAAGACAGTGACAAAAAGAGGACTGTTTTACTCTACGTGGTGATTTTCCTACACTCCCCTCTCTTCCATCATGTTGGCCAACTGCCTCTAAGACTTCTTCTTAATTTGTGGTACAGAGTTAGGGATAGCTTGACAGCACAAGTGCACGAGAGGCTGGGTTAACGTCCAACTGTGTGACCCCCTTGCAGCTTTATTGACAACCTCGAATGGATTCTATCAGTGAGCTCTGAATCTATTTATTTAGTTTTATGTTATTGAATTTTTGAAATAGGTAATTGCTATGTAGCCCAGACTGGGCTCAAACTCACAGTGATCCTCTTGTCTTGGCCTCCTGAGTGTTGGAGTTACCAGTGTGTGTCACCACACCCAGCTATGAACTCTGAAAACAGCAGGTCCTGAAGTGAAAGATCAGGTTAAGTTCTGAACATCTGTGTCAGTCTTTCTCTGTGCACTCCACAAACAAATGAGTAAGTTTCCACATTTTATACAGCAACTTTTGAGGCAAGGACTGTATCTACTTAAAAAAGCAAATGAATCCAGGTCTTCCCCTATAGGACAGGCAAGCAATCCCTGAAGGACCCAGAAGAGACCCTGGACTCTGAGAACAAGGATAAGGCCTGGCCACTTCTGGATGCCTGCTGCTGGGGTACTGCCTGGGTATAGCAATACTTCTGTTGAGCTGGGCTGCTCCAAATGCATGCAGCAGACGGAGCCCAGCCAGCAACAGTGAGCAGACGGGCCAATTACTTATTGTGTTTGGGCAGAGCGAGCAAGACTGAGCAGTGCCTGATGATAAGACTCAGCTTCTCACCGCTGGAGATCACAAAGCACAGGACTAAGGAAAACATCCCTACTGCCAGCACAACTCTTGGTACCAAAGGGCTTGCTTTCCTTACCCAAACCAAAAGCCATCTTCCAAGCGTTTTATAAGTTGTAGCTCCTACGCTCAACTCTTTCATCCATGATGAGTTAACACTGTATATGGAGGGAATTGAGGCTCTAACTCCCTTCTTTGAATATCTTTTTTTTGTATCAGGGATTGAACTCAGGACCTTGTGCTTTCCAGGCAAATGTTTATGCCACTGAGCTATCTCCCTGGTCTCTATCTCCTCTTTTTTGCAAGAGGACAAAATAATTTTTAAACAAAGACGTCTAAGTTTACACTAGCCTTTGGAGCATAATGTACTTTTTGTCATTTCAAAGCATAACCATAGGAGTGTCACACCCACGTTTATTCTTCAGAATATTTCTACTAATGAATTATTAATTTTAATTTTATGGGTTGTATTAAACAGTGGGTGCTTAACATGAAAAAAATCACAAAATAATGTACTGAACTTTAAATATTTATTGAGTGCTTAAAAGTATTAAAATTTTGACATCAGCTGTTTACTTGCTCAAAAATCTAAAAGATAACATCAGAAATAAAAACCCATGTGAACTATAGTGTAAACACAAACAAAACAGAAATAAGCTTTGCCTTAGCTGTCAGAGCTAAGGCAGTCTTCACACATCACAACTGCATGTTCCATACACAAGTATCGCTTATGCTGACTGTATGTAGGCCTTGTTTTCCTGTACTTTCTTGTAGGGCAGAGTTGACATTCTTTTGTTTTTCTGTTGATCTAGTAGGTCTTTGGGATGTGGCACCTTCTTGTTCACTTGTCAGCTCACTGCTGTGGTCTGTATTTTTTCCTGTATTCCTCTTCTGTAATGACGTCTTATGCGTTCCACTCCCAATCCTCTAAGAAAATTTCTTCATAGTATTTTGCACTTGTTATTTTCTTCATAAGTTATCAAACTACTTATGCCATACATGTTTAGGATTGAGTAAAACACAACACTGGCCAACGCTTTGTGCTTCAAATGACACCACAGTTGCTGCATAGCTCATCAAGAACATCTACTCCACCTCTGGTTTTATTGTAGAAAGTTTCCATCTCAGACTTTGTGTTGGAATTTCCCTACTGATATTTCCACCATGGTGCAAAGTTGACACCAGCAGTATCAGTTTGTTGTTCTTTGCTGTTTATGAGACTAATGCTACATCTTTCTGAAATCCAAAGACTGTACTATTCAATTCTCTTTTTTGAAATTGCAACATATCATTTGGATTTTCTGCTTTGCTCTTGTGTACAGTTCTGTGCTGGTCCATTTGTGCTCTGTTAGCAAAATATAACATCAATTGTAAACCAGTAAACCAATTGTCCAATGTCACACTCTGTTTAGTTCTAGAGATAGGAGCAACAAGTCTGTTCACAACATCATTACTATACAAATAAGGACCTGGTGGCTGAGTTCTGGATAAATGTCTAAATTGAAAGCATCATAAATCTTTACATCTGCAAGG